AGCCATGATGATAACTGCAATGATGATTAAAAACAAAGAACAAAATACTAGTAATGGTCGGGTCCTCAACACATTGGTCCAAGGTACCTGCAAGAAACATGTCAGACAGTTTTTTAGAGCTTGGACTTAAAGTCCTCCCTGCAGCGGGAAAGGAGAGATCCCATGAACTGAGAATCCAATGTTTGGGAATAAGTCATTGCAACTGCATACACTACATGTAATATAGCCTGACTGAACCTCTGAAAGAGTAAACAATTGAGTCATCATTTAATAAACAGCATGAAGATTAAGAAATACACCACTGGATGAGGTGCTGGAGTTTGGTGTAGCCATGGATTAAAAAAAGAAAACAGGAAGGGTGAGAAGATGAAAGAGAAAAGGAGTGGGTTGGGAGCAAAGCCCTACCTTCACAGTTCTTGGAAGTTGAATTATATGTGTAGCCTTCTGCACATTCACATTCATATTTTCCCTGGGTGTTTTTACAAATGGCTGTCCCACAGATGTTTGGATATAGCACACACTCATTTATATCTAGAAATACAAACAAGTTATTAAAAACCAAGTCACTCTCTTCCATATAATTTTTTTTCCTAACCCTGTCCAAACTGAGTGAGGCTGGAAAACTGGTCTACCATGCTTTCTCAGCAGACTACAGCTATAGCCATAAAGATTTCCAGAGGGAAAACACACCTCTGCATGCCCTCAGTGGAAAAAAAAGTCTCTGCCTGCCTATCTTTCTCACTCTTTCATGTGTTCTGTGGGTAACAGGAAAAGTGACGCTTGTCCAGGAAGGCAGGGAGAGAAACAGTCTGCAGACTGCAGAATAAAATCCTACCTTAGAAAAAGACATCCAGAAAGAAAGACAAGAGATAATCCTGTTGGAGGTTCTTACATGCTACAATCAATTCATGTCACAACTGTCTTTTAATTGGCTCTGCTGACAGGTGTTCAAGTCCCTCACTGTCTCTCTATCCCTCAAACCATTTTAGCGTCTGTTTTCTGGGGTGTTTCCAGTTTTTCACTGTCATTTTCACAATGCAGATGTGACAACTGGACTCAGCACATAGCATCAATCTTACTGAATGTCTTTTGGACAGAAAAATATCAGATCCCTGGTAGTACTTCATCCCCACTTGTATGTGCAGGGATCATTCCAGTTTTCTCTGTGGTTTAGTAGTAGTGGAAATGGTGCAACACAGGGAGAACAGAGTCTGCCACTGGCTTGCCAGGATTCCTGGAACCTTATTAAGTCAAAGCTGTCCTGAATTTGGACTACCTTTCTACAGTTACTGTGTGTATTCCAAATTCCTAGTTGTATAACTGTAGTTGGATGTAATGAAATACTTAAATCCAGTTTATCAAATGACAGAACTGGTACTTGAGGTACTAAGGTATAGCCGTCTATTTTTATCTTTGATTATTTTTTAACCAAATTTTCCAGTATCTTTGCAAGAATTACAGAGATTCTAACCAACTTATCTGCTTGCCCTTTTTGACAAAACCACAATCTTTGGTTGTTGTGGCATTACTTTGGAAGTTATTAATTCACAAAAATTTATAGACTAAAGAAAGTGATAGCTGAAGATGGTCATCAAATTCAGTCTCTTAAATTATTTGACATTATCCAAAACTGTTATCATAGTTTGGCAATAAAACATGACATTAAAATAGAATGAAGCTGTATTTTTTTCTAACTGTGTAGTAAGAATTGCTAATTATGTCAGTACATAGTCTTTATCCAGAATGGAACGAAGCACGTAGGTCATGGCCAATAATAACAGACACAGGCAGGCACAGAAAAAAAATTATTCTGGGTGAATAAAAGCCAAATCTCTCTTTCCATTATGAGAATTTTTGGAATCATTAATAGTTTCTTCTCCAGTGAACTTCAAACTCCCGAAAGAGCAGCATCACTAATTATGATTCCGCCAAAACCCAGGCGGGATTTCCATGGGAACAATATTAGCTGGTCACACCACTTTAGATTCTTGTTTTAGCATGCTTAAAGCGTATGTGAGACTGGTAAGGGATAAAACCAAGCTTTATGGAGCTCTGAAATGAAGAAGAATCTCATCTACAGCCTTTTTCCTCTTTCTTTTTTTCTCCTTGATCTGGATCACTATGTGATTGTCAGAAATGCTTGCAGTGAGTAACCAAGTTAAAGCATGGCTGCATCGTTCAGAGGCAATACAACCTTTTATGAACTTGGAGCATTTATGGAACTATTGGACTAAATTCTTTCCTCTCTCTAGTTAGCAGGCAGTGTATTGTCACGTAATAATGTTCTTAAGTCTCACTTTGTACCTCCACAATCCCGTTTGTTCGAGTGCATGAAGTATCCATCTTCACACAAGCAACGGTAGCTCCCAGGTAGATTGGAACAGCGTTGGCTACAACCTCCATTAAAGTCTTCACACTCGTTTATATCTGGAAGGAAAACAAAATACAACCAACTGAGATACTATTCAATAACAGCAGAACTGTAATTGTACTCCTGAGAACTACCATATGAGATCAAAGACTATACCTTCTTCACAGTTCTCTCCTCTCCACCCTGGTTTACAGACACATGTGTATTTGCCTTGTCCATCTATGCAATCCTTATATCCATCTTTATGGCATGGCAGAGGGCTGCACTGGTTTGAAATTTCTGTGGGATGGAAAACATTGGAAAGACTTGTTATTTGGGGTTATTTTTCCTCAGAAATCAGTTTATTCTTCCTCTCTTCCTACAGGTACCTGTCATGAAATGGTAAAGGGCTTGACGCAGAACATCAAGTAGCCCCACAACCATGTTGCTACTAATTTACAAGTGACTGAGAACATACCAAGCCACCAATACTTTCTTTGTCAGACAGAAAACAACTAGAAGACAAATTACTTGCCAAACCATGCCAATGCCTGCAAATATGACCAAATTCAGACTTGTTACTATTTTCATTACATTTTATGGATGTATTTCACTTTTTAAAGAACAGTGCTCTGCCCCATCATATTGCCACAATTTTCAGTAGACAGATGAAAGTTTCAAGAATACAATGACTTCAAAATTAGATGAGTTTCTCTATTTAAGAAGGGTCACTTCTACAGAGAAACTGGCACCTCAGGTTGCCTTGGCCATCCAGGTCAAGGGTAGGCTGGATACATCAGCATTTAATACTGTCACCTTTTACAAATATTAACTTCAATGACAAACAAATCTGCATTTGATATGGTTTGAAGCTGGTTCCCTGTCAAGTCTCCAAACCTTACCACAAGAAGTCCCTTGCCCCCCCAAAACCTCAGAGAGAAGAGGGAAAAAACAACCAAGAAAACCAAAACGAGAGAGAGACAGCTAAAGTGATATATATATAAATATATTTACACTTATGTTACAGTTATATACAATTGAAATATATATACAATTTGACAAGGGAAAGGGAAGGGGGAAGGGAAAAGGAACAAAACCAAAATAAAAAATATATATATATATCCCAATCAGTAGCCTGAGATCTATCCACTAAAAGAGTTAGCAAAGAAATATCTCACTGCTCTCCTTGGGACAACAGAAAGTCGCTCGGGACCGATCGCCGGCACCCTCTGTGTCCCAAGGTCGGCAAGGCCTGACCAGGCCTCGCTCCCCAACCCGGCAGATCAACACAGGGAACCTGCACCTCCAAAGCCGGAAGGAAAGAGAGCAAAGGCCTTTCCTCCTTTCTTCTTATAGCCCGGCTTACGTAAAAATCGTAGGGAATACCGGGTAAATCTGGACCCTTCCCTGGTTACAAACTGGTCACCAAGGAAGGCCTAGCCCAAACCACCACAGCATTATAAAGAGCAACTGAAGACTCTTTATACATGCCAGCAAGATCTCAGAAAGCAAAGTCCAAAATATGTGAACTGGGGCAGAGAACACAGAATTCACTGCCTTTTTCTCTCCAACTGAAACACATACATTTTTTCAGCAGTTCCCATAATTTTTATAGTTTTGCATCAGCATACCACATAAGGCATTGTTGTATTTGTGTCTGCTGACTATGATGTTGTCTTTTTGGATTATTTTTCTGCAGGCCTCCAAACATTATAAATGCATTGTTTCTACTTTAAACCTCTGGAATGTCCTTCTGAGACATGTTTTAAAAAAAATAAAATAGTGTCCTAAAAACCAGACCATAGAATGAAAAGTTGAAAGGATTCAGTGATGTTCATATTCAAAAAAGTGGAGTGAAAAGGCAAGTATGCTCCTGAAGACAGAAAACTTGTTGCAATTCTGTACATAACACCTCACTGGGTTTCTTAAACATTTCTTACTTCACTCAAAAGAACTAAAGAACTGCAGAATTTTCCTTGTCTTTCCTAGATGTGGATTAAGCAGTCAATCTATTCACTGATTTTTATAATTGTTTATCTAGAAATCTGTGTCTTTAAAATGTATGTTCCTTTGTGTTCTCAAATAAATAATTTGGACAAATTATTTTTCAATTCTGCTCGCATTACTATTTTTATTCCTTGATTTTTTTTCAGCTTGACATTGAAAGTATTTACTGTATTATAATACACTTAATTACAATTATTTATTTATTTCTCATTAGTAAAATTGGATTTTTCATTTGACAGTATCAAAACCATTTGGGTTGAGCAGTTCAGGAAGACAAAACTTCTAAAACTAAAAAAAAAAAAAAATGTTGATATCGGTATCGCAAAACCTTTGTCTCAATAAAAACACATTTTAAAAAAAAGTTACATAGTTTTAACAGGAATTTTAAATTCCACTGTCTCAGCAGTGGCTCCCCTCCAGAAACGTGCATAAATTTAAGCCTTATAAACATTTGAAAATTTTATGCATACACACTTCTCCTTTATCCTAGTGACTAGTAATAATTTATTTAATTTGATTTTATAATGGGAACCCAAAGGGAGAAATACAATGATTATCAAGTAAACTAGGTTTTTTTCACTGCATAATACATATTCACACAGCTCTGCTAAATCCTTTCCTCCTGGGACCTCTAATGAGACTGAGAAAGATATGAATGGGAGCATACTTTAGCTTGTGACAGCAACAGTCACATTGGACAAGTGATCTGGAAAATATGTTCATCCGTGACCATGTGCAGTGTAATTATTGAGGATTTTTTTTTTGCCTACCATTGTTTTCAGTGACAAAAACAGTGTCAGAAGGTTAAGTATCCCCATTCCCACTCAAACAAACTGAAGGTTTCTTTGATATAACTAGGCTGTAAAAGTTTAAGAGGTTTAGAGAGATGTTTCAACTGTGGCAAGTAGGGAATATGGTAAAAATTGCTTCCTGTGAATTTACTAATGAGAACACAATTCACACTGGATTTACGAATGGATAAAGGTATAAAAATAAAATATTTGAGAAACATCACAAGTTTCATGCTTTCCGTCCTTTTTGGGGGAGTCAATGACTGTGTTCCATGTAAGATTTGAATTTTTCAGCTGATGTTACCCACTTCATGAATGGTCACAGTGCAGCTATGGGCCAAAGAGTGGTACAACAAAGAATTAACCAGTTACCTTAACTAATAGAACATGACTTGCCAGATGCAAAGAGTTTAAGATATAGTAGAGTACAGAGGAACTGGGGAATGTTGGTGGGTTCCTGTAGGACACTTCTGTTTCCAGGAGAATTCTGCCTTCCATTTTGCACTTAGTCATATTTCTTTTCCAGGGTGCTTCATAAAGCTAAAACCAGTCACTTAAACTGCTTTCTCTGAAAATGCTCTGTCTCTCCTAACATTTTTTGTCCATTTCTGCTTTAGATTCTTGAGTTAAATGGTTATTTGTCTGTTTTTCTGCCTATGGGAACTGCTTTGTAGCCACGCAGGTGTTCTTAGATGTGAGTGCATTAGGTAAAGCACTGAACAGCAGCACTTACCCTTGACGCAGGCCCTCAGGTCAGCTGGAGAATCAGGAGTAACTGCAGCGACCCTGAACACCCCAGCTCGATGGGAGGCAAGGCAGCCTGCAAATGCAAACCCACACCATCTGCTGGTGATGCTAGCACTCATTTGGACCGAAATCACAACAAGCTCATTCATCTTCAAAGAGTCTGTTCCCAAAGCTTGAATTAGGAAACTTGTCTGGGCATGTTAAGGACGGCTGATCACAGAGCAACCTCCTGAGCGCCTCTGCACTAAGGATCTAAGCACTCAGGGAGATTCTGTGCATTGTAATCAGCATGGAAATCATTCCAGTGCTCTGGGCAGAATAACTAAACCAGTATTATCCAAATGAGAGGATCAGGGAATTATATACTAGAGTTGTTTGGGGGTTTTTTTGTACTTACCTAAATATTTGGGATAAAAATACTCCTGTGGAAAGAAAAGAAAAATTTCAGGTAGATAAAATTAGAGCAAAATATGTCACTGAATACATTCTAAAATATATTGGTATTAGGACTACAAACAAATTACAAAGTTGCTTTGACTCACAGAATATAGGCCAAGCTTTCTATATCATTGTTGTTTAGCCTAAACAAGTAGATTATTTAATACACACAAGATTCAATGGAGAGATTAAGATACTGCACTGAATTGGGAACTTGTAAAATGAAGGCAATGAAAATGAACTGGGTGTCAAAACTACTTTCAAAATTCTCTTTAAATGGGAGGATCTGGTCTGATGCTGTTATTGGATATAGAGCTAGGCTCCTTTATTTTCTGTTTTCAACCTAAAACAAACCAACCCCCCTGGAATACATTTAACTTCTCACAGCAACTTCATTCCAAATAAAATGAAAAGTGTTACTAAAGCAAAAATTGTTAAAAGCAATTGACCATTGACTACTGAAACTATTTAAACTTAACAACTAGTATAGCCACATATATCCAATGTTATCAAAGACAGAACTGACATAGTTTGCAAAATATAATAAACCTTTTGTAGTAAAAAGGTAAATAAAATATACCTGCTACCAAACAATGTGCAGTGGTACTGAACTGAGGAATCAAGTCCTCCTCACTTTGAAAAAAATCTTGCAGCAATTAAATCTAACCCTTTCATTAAGATTCTTATAGCTTTGAAGTGTGAATTCTATGTACTTCTGGCTTTCCCTCTGCAAAGAACTATCTATGTCACAGATATTCATAAAATACTTACAGTTTCAGGATTATTTTCAAAGACTTCCCTGGCTTCTTCCTTATTGCATAATTCTTCAATGCATTCTCTTTCTAGATTTCCTTTCTTACTTTCTTCCATAAAAGAATTGGCTCGACGTTTCCTGAGCAGGAACTGGGAGGCATATTGCTGGGATAAAACTTTGGAGAAACAAAGAAGCTCTGTCATTATTTATCTATCTTTTTAACAGCTGAACAAAGTTATAAACACTGAATAAATATGAGAACCTAACACAAAATTCTGAATTAAATGCTTAGTCAAGAGCTGAGTTCACTGTCATTTTGAAAACTGCGGTCAACAGACCCTAGGAGTCTGTTTTCTGTATCTGGGGGAGCCGTTTCTGACCAAAAAAAGAAATCCTGAGTCACCAAAATGTTTGTGCAATGCTATGTCCAAAGCATAATTTAACTCTCATATTCAGGACAAGATTTTTTTTTTTTAAGTTATGAGTATTACAAAATGAGATATGTGACCAGCAAGCGGAAAAAAGCTGCAAAGCCTTTATTACCTGTCTCAGTGATCTAGGAGTAAATATTCTGGTACTATTTAAGTCATGTGAGACCAAAAATATGTCTAATAAAGTCACGCTACTTGTTAGATGTAATTAACATAAATGTAATTTTATTTTTTAGAACTTTACAGAACTTTTACGAAGTAAAAGGTGAGAAATCTCAGATAACCTATGAATACATTCACAGTTTACCAAGATAAAATAGAATCCTAGCTAACTGTTATATTTCAGATCCATCATGTTATGTGTTGTTACTTAATTTTCATATATCTTGTTATTGTCATTTTATTGACTTTTATACAAATGGTGAACAAATAGGTGAGTTGAGAAATGATACTAAAAATGAAAGATATTTTTGCTTCGGTGTTCTTTTTAGAGACAACACTACAGGAACAGCAACTAAATCAGAGTGCCTCGTGTTTAACTTTTGGACACACCTTGTGATAAAGGAAAAAATGGATGAGCATAATTGGAAAAAGTCCAGCTGACACGGTTAAAGAGCATGGATGACACATGTTAACTAGAGAGTACCTACACTTCTACACCTGCCCTTCTTTTACCAGCCTTTGCACAACTTAACCTTTCAGAGGAGCACAACTGTGTGAGGGTCCTGACAGATTTGGTGTTCATACCTACTCATCACAGGTCTGCAGACAAGACCAATTCAAGCAGACACAGTCAATTCAGTCTCATCATGAGCAGATAACACCTCAAACCCAAAACACCTTCTTGAGACACATGAGCAGCCAAGTGTCAGGGAACCAGCCTCCCAATTTCTGTGCACTGACAGGAAAGAGAAAACTTAGAGTAGCTGCTGAGGCCCAGAACCTGAATCGAGAATGGCTTTTAGATGACATATTTAATAAAACCATACCATCCTAAACACCTTACGGTCTCTAGCAAGTTCCAAGGAACACAGCTGAAGCACTCTGCAACACTGGATAATGACCTGAAGAAACCTTTCTGTTACAGCATCCCAAATGTATTTCATGTGGGGTGAGCTTGTACCTCCAAACTGATCTATTTGCTTTCACTCTGGTAAGATTAATCTTTCCAGAAAGGCAATAGATAAAATTTCTTCAGTATAAGGTGGATGTACTACAGCACACCTCCAAAGTTTTAAAGCACACCTTTATCTCAAAGAGCAACCACAAGCTGCTTAGGAATGCAAGGAGGAGAGGTCAGCTTGTGTCCTTCCCTGCTCATAAATGTATCAGTCTGGTATTTGACAATTCATTTTTTCTTATAGACATGCTAATCCACGGAGAAAAGAAGGAACCCTGCAAGGTGAAACTGCTCCTCAAGGAAACTGCTTGGAGAAAGAACAATCTCATTTTCTGGGCCTCCACTTTCTGCAAAATTCTTGTCACAAAAGAAATGCTTTAAGCCTGCTTTTCTCTGCTACTGTCTTCCACTTTCACAATCCTTAAGGTATACCAGAAACATGTCTCAAGAAAGGCTGTTAACAACATATTTCAAGAGGTGGATTTGGATTTTCTGATTGTTCTTCATTGAGCAGAGAGGAGGAGCAACGAACTGGAAACTCTGCAACTGTGGATGTCTTAGACCTTTTCTCTCAATCCAAAAGCCCACCACTAACATGCTGTCTCCTGGGAGACTGGCAAAACGCACAGAGAGATGACAGGACAAGAAAGGCCTCCTAAGACCTTTTCTGAACCCTAACTGCACTGGAAAGCACTCCCAGGAAAACACTCTGATAACTTATTTACCATCAACTGTTGCTAGCAGTGTCATTTTAATTACTTTGAGTAAATGCTTTGTCACTACACAAAAGCAAGTTAATAAGAAGGATGCAGAAGAACTATCTATTCTGAGGCAAAAGGAGTAACAACAAAAAAAGTAAAATTGTGTACCACCTCTGCTGATTTTATTTGCATTGAAGGTTTCTACAAACACACTGACTAGCTTTGGGGCAGAGGCTCTGGGGTGTAGATGAGGCCTAATTCACAGCTGACTTTAAACAATCTTGTTTTGACTTTTAGCTGCATCATTCTCATTTTCATACAGTTTTACAGTAAATAAAACACAAGAAAACTTCAAGTGCATGCAAACAGATACAACACTTTCTACCTCATGTCTTCAGTACACAGTGGGGTAATGGAAACACATCACAGCTGTTTATCCTTCTCCTAAGGTGATTTCCTATGGCATTGAGTTTAAATAAAACATGTAACTCAAAGCAAATTCCATGGGGTTTAGTGCAAATATTTCAACTCCCATACACAGAATTTTTAGTGTATTTAATAATCCGTGTTTTAATTACAAAGATTATGATAGAACCTTTATTAAAAAACAATCCTGACTGCTACTGCTGCCAGTTTGATTACAGGAAACTCCAGCCCACTTCTGACCCTGCCAAACCAACAGTTAACCCTTAATGCACCTGGTGTGTTTCACTCGGTTATCACTGAAGCATCATGCCTTACAATTTCCATAGGTGTTCTACAGACACTGTATAGCTATGACTTATCAAGCACCTGTTTAGAAGTAATGCTACTAAAAAAACAAACATTGTGGGAGAGGAAGAGATTCAGTAGTTTCTTACAGCTGTTTTATTGTGCAGATGCAACCACAAACCTGCCTTAAGTGGGCCACTTAAACCTAACTTAGAGCTCCTTACCTAATCCCCCAGTCATGGAAAGCAGTCCTGCTCTCTCCCAGAAACTCGGAGCCCCCATAAACTGAATAAAAAGGACATGTGATGCTGTTGTATTGCAAACAGCTCCAAAATTCCAGGGACTAGAGTCTCCCAAAATGCTTATCAGTGACATAAGCTTTATGCAGCCAACAAAAAAAAAGTCAGCCGCTAATATTTATCTGTTCCTTCTCCAAAATGTGTCCCTCATTGGGTGTTTGACCAAACAACTGCACTAAGACCAGCAGAGAGGCAACTTCCATTTATGATTATTGAACGGTACAAGCTGCATCATTAAGCTGTTTTCTCTTCCTGCCTCCCTGCCATTCCAGAAATCCCTGTCATTGTTCAGAGAGAGGGATAGGAAGCTGGACTATATGGACCACAGACATTTTGCATTAGTAGGACACTGCTATTGAGAAAAGAGAAAGTGACAAGGTATGCAATGGAGAAGATACATGGAACCGAAAATATGATGAAAACAGGAGAAAAGAACATTATGGAACACTCATTAGAAGATTTATTTTTAGAACCCTTTAAAAAAAAACAGTTAAAAAATTAACTTTCATCTTTCGATACTGTTCCCTTCTCGAGTCACAAACCCCAGCACTCAAACAGAAAGCCTGAATGGTAAACACTGGGTTTCTCTTCTGCCGGTTTAATCATTAGTAAAATGGGTCGGAAAGAGGCTTACTTTGAGCTTGTTCCAGATACAGTCTTCTTTTACTACTAAAAGGCTTAACGACTTCTGTTTCGAAAAGACTTTATTATTATTATTACTGTGTTTTAATCTGTGAGAGCAAGCAGCCCTTACCTAGGTCTGAACTTACCACAAGTCAGGGACCGCACAATAACGCGGTGTCTCCCGGAGCCCTCGATCTATCCCCAAGGGCTGTTCCTGGGAGGGAATCCCGTGAAGGGACACTTTCCCCTCGGCCATAAACAGCTCCAGAGCCGCTCACGGCGCCGAGTCACAACCCGGCTGTCCCAGAAAGCTTCCGAATCCCCTGGGACCGATGAGCTCCAC